ATTCATAACATGACAACTAGATCACATCTGGTCCATTTCGCTACGGTATGATGTGGAGTCTAACAGGGATAGCTCGAATTCATTAGGACCGGCCTCAGTAGTTTGAGGGATAACTTTAAAAGATAATAATAAACAAAAACAAAAACAAACGGGACCACAGGCACAAAATCGACAAGCGTGATTAGAAGTCTTCTGTGTTTGACCTATCTGAGTGATACTGTACGTGCGCGTCAGACTGTATGTAAAAAAAATTACACTAGAGGATTTTAAGTTTAGGCGTATGGAGATGAGGACACCCAAAAAATTAAGACGATAAAAAAATCTTTTAATGAGCTATATTTAGACATGAGTCGCCCTCTTACGTGGCACAGAGATCTATTTTTCATTTTTATCTAAATATTAGAATTCCGAGACCAAGACCGACTATCGTTACCCCCCCCCCCCTCCCAAAGGCATCGAAATGAATGTCCCGCTTAAAGCTCATTCCAGACAAAAGTGACACCGAAGACTTGTGAGAAGGTGTGCTAGTGACTTTCTAGTTTCAGTCTCCAAAATGTCAGTACACTGCCTCCTTCCCAATTCATAATTTTGTGCTGCGCATGTCTTTTGCTGTGCACTAATGCACACTTATTCCCAAGAATTTGATTAAGATTATTTTTCTTTTTATTGAAAAAAAACCCCAATGACCCCCCCCCCCCCCCCCAACAAAAAATGCAACCAAATACTAAGAGTGCACATGTGTGTAACGACGAGGAGGAATCAGGCGTTCGTCAAATTTGGGGCATATGGAGTTAATGGTATCATCTTAAGGTTGGTCTTTTGCCTTGCTTTCAGGGCTGCCTACCTCAAAGTTCCCATTTCAGGTAGATTCAGGGTCATTTTCAGGTAGATTGGCCCAAAATCAGGTAGTACAAAGACAAAGAAGAAAAAAAAAAGGATGATCGTTGCCCCATCGAACGCGCTTGCTTTCCGTGATATTGGGTAATTATATTTTGAAAACTTGTTTGTACATGCACATGTGTGTGAGTGTGTGTGTGTGTGTGTGTGTTTGTCTGTGTGTGCATGTTGCCACGCTCTCGCATGTGCCTATATAATGTGCGTGGGAAAGGAAGGGGGTGTATGGGTGTGCATAAGTTACGATGAACAGTGTGTATGAAATGAGGCGAGGTTGTTTAAAAAAAAAAAAATCATTTTATGGACTAACGTTCAAGGCACCTATCATTCAGTATTGAATCAGGAATTGAGTGCAGGGTGATTGCAAAACTGACTTCAAAACCGCTCGCCCATACCAACAGAAACTATATTAAAACATAATTTTCCCAACACTAGCATGGGACACTGATAAGTCCTTCGTGACTTAGGTAAGACAGACAATTAATTCTAACTAATTTTACTATAAAAATACAAAATGAATCCTGATCTGGGCCTGAGAAGATGCAAGAAGAACATCAACTGCAAAAACCATGTTTGGTTTCAGCAATCACGGATTTTAAAAAGCATGCAAGACAAAACGTAATAAAACCTTTATAATTAGGCTCACGGCAGAGCAAAAAGTGAAAATAAAAGAGAGCGTGTACCGATAGAGCCGGAGCTGGAAGGACAGTGATGCTGAAAACCTGGCAATCAGTGAATGACTGCATCATGGACTAAGTATTGATTTTTTTTTCAAAATGCTAAATCACAGTGCCAGTATTTAATCAGCAACAAGCCATCATGATGCATAGGCATCCAACATAGAGCTTTCCGAGGGTTGAAAATGGCATTTCCTCATTGCCACTATTCAATTTGTCATCACTGACAAATCCGACAAACCCGGGAACACCAACCTTAAAGATACAATCATCAAGCCTGTGCTCTAATGTTCCCTCATTTACGCACTCGATTGTCGAATGTCAAAACCACTTCCATTTATCGTTTTTATTTTAGCATCAGTTTCTTGCACCGCGGCCTTTTCCTGCTGCCGTAAACTTTATTGCATCAAACACCTCCCCTCAATTCCGACGCCCTGCTGCACTCCTACTTTGAAAGAACTTTGATTAGGCTTTCCCCAACAACCACCAGCTGGTCCCTTGCTCGTGCCGTACTCACAAACTCTCACAGGTTCATTGACCGGTCACGATGACGGGCCTGACAATCGAGAAATTGGAGGACACGTGTTTTCTTTTTCTTCCTTTTTTAGTCATTATAGTGACATCGGTGAGAATATCGATTTAATGTTTATGGCTACACTGTGGTTTTTTTACGCACAAACTGCAGGTTACAAATTTTTGTTTACTGTAAATTTAATGTCAACGAACTATCATCGGACAATTCTGAGCGGTAACGAAAGAAGATTTTGATTTTCCCAAAGGAGTCTCAGAATTACACGTCTTTCGCCTGCCGCCATTGCCGCTCATTCGCGCGAAACGTACTCTTGGACTGGGGAAAGCCGAACGTAATATCACAAACGCGACCAGTAAAATATGAACTCAGAAGGTTTTTCCGATTTGGTTTCTAGGACTTTGTGTATTTTTCAGGTCTAATGCGGGGTGCCCACTACGGCTGGATCGGGCCAATCGCCCTACTCGATCGCCTAAAACTGAAAACAAACACGTTTGTTTTTTAGGCGACCAAGTCAGGCGATCGGCCCTTCACAGCCGTAGTGGGCATCCCGTATAAGCGATTTTTTTTCAAATTCCCGGGTAATAAATTCCCGCAGTCCCCCTGCGTAGAATCCTTATTTGGTATTGACCTAGGCTTTCTCAGTTCTAGGTACTGACCAATTCTCTAGACCAAGACAGATTTTATAATGTTTTGCTTCGATACCGATGTTCCTTCTA